TTTTCATTCAACTTTTTAAATTTTTTTTTATTTAATTTATTTATTGATTTTTTTTTTTAAGCTTACAACTGCTTTCCTGCCTATTGGTTAGACAAACTATAGTGCAAACAAATAGCATCTGAGTATGGGCTATGAACACCCTGCTTTACTGTCGAGTCATTAGTTGTGCCCCAAATGACATAATATACATGCCTAGTTAAGTGTTTGAAGTATACTTTTTCTTGTTGGAATTTTCAGTGTGAACACACTAGCTGCGCTATTTATACGACAAAACAGCACTGAATAGTGCATAAGTATTGAAAATTTAAACACACCTACATTTTAAACATTGAACAAGACATTTCATTTCCGCAGGGCCGCTGCTGGCCAAATGGGTGCCATAAGCAGAATAGTATTGTTGTGCCTCCTCCTCCTTCAAAAAAAAAAAAACACCTACTATAAGGGATCAAAATAGAACTTTAATAAAATATAAATAGTAATTAAATTGTATTATTTATACATTACAATTGTAGCTCTAGACAGTTACCTATGGCTATGATTTTATTAATACCGTTGTCTGATTGATTTTAGTCTCAAGCATTCAGAAATCACACAAAATAAAATTAAGCAGTTTTACTACGATAAAACCATGGTTAATTTTGGTAAGGGTTGTGATGTCCACATGTTTTTGTTGAAGAAATTAAAGAGGGTGTAGCATTTCTATCACAAAAAGGTGGCCTAAAATGTAAAATTAAGTGGATATTTGAATTAAATGTTTGGTCAATATTAAACAAGGATTTGATCGTCCTGCAAGTGTAACAACAGCAATTACCAGGCCTTTGGTGCCCTTTGCAGGCATTTGTAATAATGCAAATTGTTTATTTTAACAGTATTATTCAATGAAACCATATGATTATTATTAATTAACCAATCATTATTGCCTCATTGTTTCTATATAATACATTTTAAGACATTAAAACTAGAATATTAAGTCAGATGCGTTGTTGGTGGTGGTAAAATTATTACCGATATTAAAACACATTACTAACGTCAACAGTCAAAAAAGTTTCACAGGATTATGAATGTAGCTACCTGAAAGTGATGCACGGGCTTCATCTTGGGCTTTT